TACGCATAGATGGATCTTCAAGAAGAAGGGAGGATAGACCCTTGAAGGAATGATGAGATCATAGTCAGTGCTCTCTCAGGCTGGTAGCTTGGAACTAGATGTCCAGCACCTCTTACTGTTGCAAATGTTACCCCTTTGTATACCACCACATATCCTCCAACCTGCTATTATATTCCACGCATATTATATCAGTTAAGTCGCTCTTTTAATTGCAAAATATTGCAGCAACAACATATAAACTATTGAAGGAGAACTGTAATTTTCCAATTCAAAGAAAATTTAAAATAAATTTCAATAGTGGACTATAAATCCTTTTGTGATTTGACAATTAAAGAATAGACTTCATAATAATGATTATGGGAATAATATAAACGGAGGAGAAAGGGAGATGGGAAAGATTGTAAAGGGAAGGAAAAAAATATAACATGTCCCTTGGTGTCTATCCCTTGTGGTATTATTAAGAATGGGTTTTAATTTACAAATAAACTCAAATGACTACATATAGAAAGATCTTTTCAATCTAATTTCAGACTTAATAATACCGAACATAGTTATAATATATAAAACCAGTTCATTTCCCTATCTTCATTCTTCTTTTGATTCATTCTACCAATTTCATTCATTTCAGTGTGACGTGGTGAATCCCGTTGTTACTACAACTCAAAATATTTGGGTTTTGCTTGGTTTATAACTCTAAAAATAGTTCTTAATAATTCAGAGAACAGAAAACTATTTTTAGAGAACTATAAAAGACAGTTAATTTGAAAATAGGCCTTTTTATAACTGAATTTTCATAAAACTGAACCAAGCAGAGTTTTTTGTACAATTTTCTATTACCAAAAACAGAAAACTGTTCTCAGAGTTACAACCCAAGCAAGCCCTTGTTTTCTTAGTGGACTTGGTTACAATTGAAGAAACTATTGTTTCATTTGGTACGAAAGATGAAAAAATGAATGAATGAGAGGGTGAAGACATCCCAATGAAAGGATTTTGTTTGGTTAAGTAGAAGGAAACAGAGAGAGGGACAACTTCCACAGTTTGGTAAGATGGGAAGGAGGGATTTCATATTCTTTTACCACTATACCCTCGTTATATAATTTTGGAGGGATGCAAAATGGTGGGCCTTGAGGGATGCCTCATCCATCCATCATTCCTTCCCTTTCTTCCTATTTTCTCCTGCACCATATGAAAGAGACTTCCTCCTCTCTTCCCTCCCACCCAACAAACACGGTTTAGGTTTTTGTTCGGCTTACTTATTTGGGGAAAAAAAAAAAGAAAAGGAAAAATAATTTTTATTTAAAGTTAGGATTTTAATTAACTTAGCTTTCATAAAACAACCTTTTTTTTTTTTTTTTTTTTTTTTTTTTTTTTTTTTGTGGTTGGATTTTTTTTTTTTTCAAAAAGAAAAGGAAACCAAGTAGGACCAAGATTTTTCCTCTCCCAAAGTCCATGCATTAAAAGTTTGTAAATACTCACATTTTCTTTTTGGTTAGGTAAATACTTACACACACAAATGACCATGATGAGGCTAGAACCCTCACCTTACCTTTGGGTTAGGGAAGGTTATACGAGCTGGGCTACTAATCCATTGGTTCCATGTATCAAAAGTTGCAAAACCTAAAAGGTAATTACAGAAACATCACAGGCTATCTTAGTTGCTACGATATATTGATATGCATTAAGGACATATTGTAGAATTGTGTCATTTATAGTAGCAACTATTAGCATAATAAAAGTAATTTGATAAAATTGGCGTACTCAATTTGAGAGCCTGACTACCATTATATAAAATAGGAAAATTACAAATATAGAAAGAGAATAAAAATCAAATCCCTAAACTATAGCCTATAATGAAGACCCAATAAATCTGCCACAATCATTTAGTCAACTTATAGATATGATTTCCAACACTCCCCCTCAAGCTAGAGCAAATATGTTGACCAAGCCTAGCTTGACTATGGAAGACTGGAGAAGAGAAGGCCCAACAGACTTTGTGAACACATCTGCAGCCTATTTTGAAGAGGGAACAAAAATAGGATTAATGATACCTCATTGAACCTTCTCTCGAATGAAGTGAATGTCTACCTCAATATGTTTCGACCTTCCATGTAAGGCAGAATCAGAAGCAAGTATAATAGCTGATTTATTGTCACAAAGTAGCCTTGAAGAACCTTTCTCTGTAAGACCCAACTCTCCCAAAATTGATTGAAGCCAAAGGAGCTCAGAAGCACCATGAGCTATAGCTCAGTATTCAGCTTCAGCAAAGGATCTGGAGACAACAGCTTGCTTCTTACTCTTCTATGATATAAGATGATTACCATAAAAAGTACAGAAACCAGAGGTAGAACATCTATCTGTTTTACATCCAGCATAGTCTGCATCAGTAAAGCATGAGAATCCAAATTGATTTCCTGAGGCATAGAACAGACCAAGGCCATGGTACGACTTAAGATACCTCAAAATATGGTAGATTGCATCCATACGAGCTGAGTGAGGGGCATACATGAATTGACTAACCACACTAACAGCAAATGTCAAATCGGGCCTTGTGTTAGTCAAGAAGATAAGACGACCTACCAAACATTGATACACGGATGGATCTGAAGGTAATTCCCCTGACTCAATAGAGAGTTTTAGATTGGGGTCTATAGGAGTGGAAGTGGATCGACACCCAAGCATGCTAGTATTTTGAAGTATATCCAAAACATATTTCTATTGAGATAAGGAATTCCACGACGAGATCTAGCAACCTCAATTCCAAGAAAATATCGAAGGGGACCTAAGTCCACATCAAAGGACTTTTGAAGATGAAGTTTTGCCTGAGCAATCCCTGAAGCATCATCACTTGTGATAATGATATCATCCACATATACTAATAACATAATGCAGCGACCATCATAGCGACGTCGAATAAAGCAAGAATGATCTGAGTGGCAGGGCACAAAGCCCATGGATAGAACATCATTGCTGAAACGACTAAACCAAGATCTATGAGATTGCTTCAGACTATAAAGAGACATCCGCAGGCGACAGACTTTCCCAGCATACTCCCCCTCAGCCCGAAATCTAGGGGTGGATTCATATATATAGGCTCAAGTAAGTCTCCATTAAGAAATACATTCTTGACATCTAACTAATGCAGAGGCCAAGAATAGGCAGCAGACAAGGAGATAAGCAGTCACACAGATGTCAACTTTGCCACAATAGTGAAGGTAGCACCAAAGTCTTTACCCGGAATCTGAGTAAAGCCTTTTGCCACCAACCGTGCCTTATACCGATCAATAAAACCATCGGCTAAGTACTTTATAGCAAAGACCCATTTGTAGCCAACCGTTTTCTCTCTAGCAGGTAAAGCTACAAGTTCCCATATATTATTACATTGTAAAACATCCATTTCTGTTGTCATAGCATACACCCAATTGGGATCTTAGAGAGCCTCTGACACTGATCGAGAAATAGAAACGGTCCCAATCTTGCTTAGGAAGGATTTATATGCATATGAAAGACCATCATAGGAGACATATTAGGAAATAGGGTGCTTAGTGCTACTAGAGAAACCATACCAATTAGGAGGGTGACAATCACTGGTAGGATAACGGGAGGTATGCTCAGGAATGGTAGAAGCCACAAGAGAATGAGAGTTACCTGGACCTGGTTTCGAAGATGATTCTGACAGGGGAGGTTGAGTGCGATGGCAATAAGAGTAAACCTGCAAAGGTGGAAAGGAACCCTGCATAGATGAAGGAGATTCCAGGACAGTGTGATTTTCAAAGAGAGGAACGAGATGGGTAATAGGACAGATCTCGTTCTCCAGACCACAAGAGAGAGAATCCTATACCACAGAATTAGTACTATAAAAAGGAACAGTTTCATGAAATGTCATATCACAGTATCTGGAGAAGGCCCCAAACATCAGAATGAATAAGATCAAACATAGTAGGAGCACGACTCATATTAGAAATATAGTTAGTTCTAGTATGTTTAGAAAACTCACAAACTTCACATTGAAACTTATGGTTTTTACATGCTTTATTTAACGAAGGAAACAATGAACATAGATACTGAAAGTTTACATGCCCCAATCGTGCATGCCACAGACTAAAGGTGTGAAAAGAAACATCATTAACACATGGAGCAGGTAGAACAGAAGCTTGGAGACCCTTTCCTGGTGGTTCCCCAAAGTATTAAAGCCCATGACGGTTATAACCCATGCCAAAAATCCTTTTCAAACAAAGGTCTTGCAACAGACAGTGATCTAGTAAGAATATAACTACACATTAGAGGTTTTTTGCAAATCGGCTACATAAACGATTAAAGGCAAATTTAGGTACATGAAGGACAGATGAAAGAGTAATATCAGAAGACAGACAGACATCACCCTTACAGTGAATGTAAGATTTAGAGCCATCCGCAAGATACAAAGATTGGGTAACATGTATGACATTAGAAGAAAAAACTGATAACTCACCAGTCATGTGATTATTGGCCCCGGAATCAAGAACCCAAGTAGGCTATTGGGCCTTAACATGAAATGCAGTAGGAGTACTTGTAGCAATAATGGCAGTGAGAGTAGCTGAAGGAGCACTAACTCTTGATGCAAGGGAGCCAAGCTAGTCCTGGATCTACCGAATTTGAGATTGAAGCTGGCTCAATCCAGGAAATATAGTAGATCCACCAGTAGTAGCAGGAGTCTCTGCAACAATAGCAATATGAGAAGAACTAGTTCCAGATAAACAGTTCTTAGAAAATTTCTGCTTCAGTTCAGGATGAAGTTTGAAGCAGCGAGTCTTAACATGTCCAACCCCTCCACAATGGTGACAAATAATCTGACCTCCAGAAGTACGTGATCCAAAGTTGGCTGCAAAAGCCATATTATCCCCAACAGGCTCAGACACTGGTAGAGGAACAAATGAGGGCTGAATTAAACGGTGTATACGTTCTTCACCATCAACAGTAGCAAAGGCTTCCAACTGGGATGGCATTGGTGATGCATTTAAGATCTAAGACTTAAGTGGTTCAAATTCTGGGCGTAATCCCATAAAAAACTGATAGGTATGCTGACGATCAAGACGCTTGACAAGAAGAGAGGCTACCTCGGGAGGAAATTCATTGAGAGGCTCATATTGAGCCAGTTCCTCCTAACGAGATCTCAAATACCCAAAGTAATCAGCAATAGACAAATTCAAGCCTTCCTGCAATGCCTTAGCAATATCTTGGTAAAACTCAAAAAATACGAGCATCAATCCTAGAATGAGCATACATTTGATTCAATGCAGTCCACAAGCCATGAACAGAGTCATAAAACATGAATATATTATAAATTCGTTCCTCCATAGAATTAAACATCCATCCTAAAATGGTGCAATTGTCCATATCCCACTGAGGATATTTAATATCTGGCATCTTTTCAGTGCCCAAAAACCACCCTGATTTGCCTTTTCCATCAACATAAAGGCGGAGGGAACGAGCCTATGATGCGAAATTACGGCCATTCAACATCACACTAGTAACTTGTTCAACCAGTGTGTGTTGCACAGAAGAGAGAGTTTCTATATTATTACTTAAATCAACATAATATTAGATAGAACAATTCAACATATCACAAATAAAGGAGGAATAAACCTGATTTTGATCAAACCAAGATGCTGGAGACACAGTGGTCTGATCCGAAAATGCAGTCGAATATCCCGGCAGCCCCAAAAAATTGCAAACACATTAGTGCAAGAAAAAGACTAAGGGAATACTCCTACAGAGATCGAACCTAGAGGAGATTGGCTCTCCCTAGGACTGTCGTAACAGAGGCCTGAAGAAGAGAAAGGGTCTGCAAAAAGAAAAAGAAAAAGGGAAGGGGTTATGACTAGATAGAGGAGAGGTGAAAAGAGGCGGTGAAAGAAAGAGAGAGAGAGAGAGAGAGAGAGAGAGAGAGAGAGAGGGGAGGCGTAGGTTTGAGGCTCTGATACCAAAAAGTAATTTGATAAAATTGGCGTACTCAATTTGAGAGCCTGACTATCATTATATACAAGAGGAAAATTACAAATATGGAAAGAGAATAAAAATCAAATCCCTAAACATTAGCCTATAATGAAGACACAATAAATCTGCCACAATCGTTGAGTTAACTTATACATAAGATTTCTAACAATAACAAATGATGTAGAAGTATAGTGCAAGACCATCTAAAGGAACTATGATGGTAATTGACTTTATATATATATATATTTTACCTCATTATTGGTGTACCATGGACGCCATGCCGTCTGGATTGGAAGCTTGAGTGTGCTTATTGAGTACCTAGACGATGTAACTGGAACAATTGCATCTATGTCACCACTGCAAGAGCAATAATATCTTTCAGGTAAATCATCCATGAATTTGAATAATATTAGTTCATTTACTTGGAATTGGAATTTCCATATTGCACTCTGATTGACTAGACCTTATCTCTAGGGTTGAACATAGTTGAATGTGGTTCGGTTTTGGGAGTAATTGTTTCATGAATTTTGAAAAAGAACCAAAAGAATGGAACTACCTAACGAATCAATCTGAACCATCTAAAATTGGTTTGTATTTGTGAATTAGTAAATCTACATGCAAAATTTATCATACATACACATACTAATTTCTATATAAAGAGCACATTATCAATAACAAAACCAAACCTAAATAAAAGGGAGAAAATCAAAGCTATAGTACGAAACTGCACCATTGATAATAAACAAAGAAGAATAAAATGGCAAGAGCTATAAATAAGAATACATAGCTATATCATGGCTTGTTCAGATTTTTTGTTTTTAAACAGCGAAACTAAATTGATCCTAACAGTCTCACTAGTTGTGGAACAGTAATAGAACAATTGCTTCCTAGAACTATTTTAAATTGTATGGTTCAGATTGGATTGCGGATAGAATGAATCCCTTTGAACCCCTACTAGGGATCCAAATTAGTGCATTCCTCCAAAGACCATAGGACTAGTGTAACGAGTTTGACGCTTGCCTTCTAACTCAAAACCTTAAGGTGTTAGGTAGTACTGGCATAACCGACCATACATTACCCAATTCATTCCCCATCCGGATATAATGTGGAATGCCCCTTCTAACATTCTCCCCCACCCAAACTCCTCTTGCCCTCTCTTAACATTTACCCCCACCTAAACTAGACTTGCAACGCCTCAGTTGCAGTCCGACCATGCACCCTGCCTACCCGTCCCCCTAACGGCGGGAAGACTTAGTAACGAGACCCGAAGTCCACCCGTGTGGGCATGACACCAGATCAAGGACTGGGTTTGGCTCCGATACTAACAGTAACCGGTTGGGCGCTTACCTTCTGACCCAAAAGCTTAAGCTATTAATTAGTGTTGCATACCCGCCCATTTATATCCAATTTTTTCCCATCCGGATCCGATGTGGGATGCCCCCTCTAACAACTAGTTCAAGGGGGGCAAACCATATGAATTGGAACTTGGAAACTTCTCAGATTATATATGTTACATTATTATGAAGTTAAGCTTACTTGCCTGTATTTCCAGACTCTTATTCCATGTATAATGAAATCCTTGATGATGGGTAGAATGGTTCTAGGGCTGTCAGTCCAATTATAATCTCTGCAAAAATTGTCAAAATTAGAGTATACTATATGTTGTTACCAATATGTGATTGATTTTTAATACAATTTAGGAAGTTACTGGCTAAAACCCAACTACCTGCATTCTCTCCAACTTGTAGGATTTGCATGGAGAGCCTTTTGCACCTCTGCAGTGTTAAAATATGAGTCCACATACATGGATGAGCACGGATCAAAATCGTTGACCTGGTTATTTGTGTGTCTCATCAATATTGTTCTAGTCAGGATTTTATTTCTATATTTGCATACAATAAGTGAAGTAAGGTAAGACTCTGCATACAAATGTTCCATAGGACATGAAGAAAGAATTGTGAACAAGGGACTTACAGAGCCATTTTTTAGCATGGGTTTGTCGCAGAGTGGAGCATAGATGTTGTAATAATCTATATCACCCCTCTCTTCATCTGACTTTTCTATGAGGCTGTCACACTTTGCAGATGAAGTTTCATTCCAAAAATCACAAAATGTGTTGATGTCTTCATATGTTTCATCCAAGTTTAAGGCATGAGTCCATACATAATCATAGGACCCCTTGGAATCTGTAGCATAGTTGATCACTGCATTTCCTATCTGAAGGATGCATAGCCATGAGAGAGTAGAAATAGTTTAGCTTAGAGAGAGATGGATATAGTAAAATTAAAGGTGGATTAGTATTAAACCTACAGCAATGCCTTTGAGGTTAATGATGGTTTTAGCATTCCTGTTATTTTGCAGAATGGTGTATGCGAGCTGAGGCACATAATGACCGGCGTAGCTTTCTCCGGTTATGTAAAAGACGCGAGTTTTATACTGTGGAAACCTCTCCAGCCAGTTGATGAGAAAGGTGTAGGCATCTTTGGCAGCACTCCTGTCACCAGTGTGATCATAATCAGAAGACGTATTTGAATATGAAAAACCTACCCCAGCCGGAGACTCCAAGAAAAGCACATTTGCCACTGCAAATTTCAATGGAAATCACAAAGTATGGTTCAATTAGATGCACTAGAAAAAGAAAAAAGAAAAATGATGAGTTGGTAGTCGAATGGACTCACCATTGTTCCATGCATATTTATTTTGATAGAGAGTTTTGTTATCAGAATTGACTCTGAAAGGCCCCAATTCCTTCATGGCTCCAGCCCCTAAAGAGGAACATCCTGGTCCTGTTGCTCCAAATCAAAGGTTATATCAGTCACACAAGCACATGCACTTAAGTTGATTGATAGAAGAATTTGAAATGAGTACTTGTGGACGGTCATTTTGGTTTAGTACCTCCATTTAGCCATAGAACCAAAGGATTGGTAGAAGAATTTTGTGGGGACTCAACAAAGTAATAGAACAGTGCTCTGCCAGCCTGTGGATCAACTGTGACATACCCTGCATACTGATCAAAATCTACGCCATCTGGTTGCCCCGGCAAAGCGTCAATCTTGTCAGCTTGCATCAACCCATCTTGGGGACCAATGTACACGGCAGAGTACTCTTCTGTGGCATGTAATTCTGCCCAAGAATCTGAAACAGCGGGGTTCTGTGATCTTCTGGACTTGATGAACCTGCGAAGGTTTGTGGCCTGACTGGCATGAGTTGAACTAAGGAATGCCAAAAAGAAGAAAGTGAAGGGCACCAAAGTGAGGCCTACAAATTTTACCATATTCTTGCTGCTTAGCATGCATATGTGCTAGTGTTCATAAAAAGAGGCAAATGCTATATATAGCTAAGGACAATCATATTAAGAAATTTTCTTTCTTTATGATTTGATGCTTTGTTTGTTCTTTGGAGATTTTGGGAACCTCATGTGTTAGAAACTGTTAACAGCTATATCTAGGACAATTAATCCAAAAATTCAAACTTGCCGGCTATAGTTTATATGGTGCTTAATTGCATTGTATTATTAGTTTGCTTCTTTTAAGTTTGTGTATAAATATATTGTATCATGTTTGGTTTATTACTTTTGTCGCTACTCAAGACCATCTTATAATATCAAATGGAGCTCTTGTGGGTTTATGTGTTCCTTTCCGCTGCAAAATGACAAAATCACAATTAATTCACAGAAAACCCCTTTGTACTATAATATATATATATATATAATATACACATTTATATATTTTTGTTAAGGTAAATGCTTGCACAAAACCACAAATGTCCACTATGGGACTCAAACTCCTTAAGGAGGACAGGTCATCTCCCCTCAGAGAGGAAAAAATACACAAACCTCCCCTAAGTTCTGGAAAAGAATACGCGAACCTCCCCGATATATAAACTTCCAATACAAAAACCTTCATGTTGCATTCTATGAATCAACTCAGAAGCTTCTTCTCCATAATCATATTGAGCATATATATACCCAGTAATCATAGTGTTCCAAGTCACAAGATCACGAGTTTCCATCTGATCAAAACACAATGTGCCATATTTAAACAACCACATTTTAAATGCATATCAATTGCAGACCCGGCAACAAATATATCCGAATCAAAAGTTAATTTTATTGAACAACAGTGCACTGTTCTGCAAAGAAAAATCCAAACCAGCACAAGCCTTAAGAACACTAGCAAGAGTAAAATTATTAACAAACAATTTCCAATCAGAATAATCATTTATCATATGATAATACAAACCCACAAGCTTCTTTATGCAAAACCCATTTCCATGAGACAGCATCTCACTTGAGCATTTCATCAAACACCCCGCGAGCTTCAATCATGCAGTCACACCTTGGGTAATCCCTAGAGATGTAGAATTTGAATGAGATAAGCAAATGAACAATCAAGAACACTACAATAGATAATGAAATGGATTCTGACTATATAATCGAGAATATTGCTACACCTACAGTCTAAATTAGAGTTAAAGGTAAGTGTCTAGTTATGCAAATTACAAAATGTGAACACATCGTAAAGATACTCAATAGTTCATGTATTTATGGTTGTATAACTAGTAGTATATCTCAAAAAGAGCTTCCTCTCAAAGCTGGTAGCGACCAGCTCCAGTCAAAAGCTCTTACAAAATCTGGAAGCTCTTTGCTCCAAACCATTTAAATACTCCAAAAAACAGCTTTAAGTTCTAAAAGCTGAAAGTGGCTTTTCAGAAGCCATCCAAAACAGGGCCTATAAGTGTAACCACTGTTAAGACATTGAATGAATGAACTATGTAACTACCAATAGTGATGCCTTATAGATGTGAATTATTCAATTTGGATTGAGGCTTAGTATGATTCTGGTTTAGTTAAGAAGATTAATGAATGATGTCTAAATCCAATGATGAACATGAGAAACAATTTGTGGTAATCTATAAATGAGTTATTATTTGACAGAATGAGATGCTATTTATTAAAGAATATTGGGCTTAATTGACTGTCTACCTATTACTATCATTTGGTGTTCACATGCAACTAATTTCATCGTCACATAATTAATCAGATTATTAATAACAGAGGAATGAACTCACTCTATATTTCTGACATTTCAGGAATCTAGATCTTTGGAAAGATGATGATAAAATTTGCATAATAACTGTGACTTACTTTATGTTTACTGAAGGAATCTTATAGTAAGAAACTAGGTACATCAAATGATCAGGTACCAACAGTTGGAGCAAAGATATCCCTTTAGCGTCACCCAAGGAAAAAAATAAAAAGTATCCAAAGATTACTTACCATTAAAATTTGATGAAGAAATAAGACCAACATTTATATAATACATGGTCATGTGACAGCACTCACCATGATCTCCCCAGTTAGCACAAGGTCCAATTCTAGCTGCCACAACAAAATCACATAGCAATAAATATTACACTTATAGACATTTTTTTTAGATATGCAAAAATAATTATGAATTGTCGAAAATAACTATGATTATGTTAAATGCATGAGATGTGAAATGTCAAATTGCAGGAAGATGAGAATTTTACACCAAAAGAAAAATAATAGACGTGTAAAAGCAACTTAGCAGAATCATTGTATTATGCATCAGTAAATGTAGAGACCGGTTTCTTTTCTGTTTTTTTTTTTTCATTTTTCCTTGTCATTTTCCATGTTCATTTATGTGATTAATTGACGTGTGGGGAATGTGCTTTGGAGTGTCCGGAATTATTATTTTTTCTTCCTTTTCTTGCTTTCCGGGAGTTTCCGGATCCATAGAATAGCTTTTTGAGTCATTTCTCTTTAAGTCAGGCAAGTGGGCTTGGGGTGTTGGGCATGTGGGCCCGGGCCAAACCTAGTGATCGGGAATCGTTTTGACACCTTAATTTTCGTATATGTATATATATATACACACACATTTATATGGCACAATGGCAAGGGTGATGTTTAGAATAAAGGAGGGGGAAGGTTGTCATTATAGGAAAGAGGTAGGTGGTATAAAAGGAGGAGAGAATGAGAGGGGAGGGCCATTTTCAGCCGGCCATTCCAAGCCCCCTCTCCATCTCCATTTCTCTCTCCATCTTCTTGCTTCCACACCGTAGTTGACCCTCTTCGGCTTTGATTCCGGCGACATCGTAGAATAGAAAAACGACGAGCTCAACAAGGGGAACATTTCTACTGTTTCAAATCTTGATTGGAGCATTGTCATCCTTGGTGAAATTTGGGATTTTGCTCTTTTAAGAGGTATGAGTGTTTAACTTAGTCACTCTTTGAGATTGAGAGTGATTTCTTGCTTAAATATGATGCTTATGTGTATAATACGACCAATATGTTTTCCTATATATATATAGGCATGTATATGTATGGGGGTTATGAAATGGGTTTGGGAATTGGTATGATTAACATGTGGGTTTGATGCTCTTGGGTTTATATTTGATATAGCATGCTCGGGGAGGTTTGATTCGCTATCTACCATGATGAGTATGCTCAATTTATGTTGATATATATATTGCTGTCATCTTGATGCTAATTGTGACTTGGTTTAGCTTTGAAGTCGAAATTGATCATATTGATGCAATATGTATGTGAGGTGTTTGATGAAATGTGTAGGTGAAGCTAAAGTATAATATATGTGATATAATGTGGCTATTGATGCTTATATGAGAGGACAATTATGAAGTACTCCGTATACATCTTGGTTATGATATTGACTCAATGGTGATATAAAATGCCCATTGTTATATTGAATTGCTTATAAGCATTTTTACACACATAATTGCCATTGTTGTGAATTGGATCGGAAAAGATGTGGGGCCATGGGCTCCGAGGTTGAAAGTCCTCAAACTTAGCCAAGCGGTACGTCATCGGCGAGTTATTTGCCCGAAAATGACACGATACGAGGCTTCGGCACATATTCGGGTGTGTGTGTGATTCAACCAATCCAGTATTTCTACATGCATGGGGAAATGTTCCCCTCATGGGTGAGTTCATTGTGCATTCATGTATCATATGGGAATTGATAATTGATAGTTTATGTAAATGCTAGTCGCTACATTTTTGTGTATCATGAGGTCACTATGATCACGAGGATTTGTATATGACAATTGTGGACTTGCTTTGTGAACGTTAGTTGATGAACATTATCATGAAAGCATGCTCCCTTGGGATTATCTTGGTGACACTTGCTATGTGAACGTTAGTCGAAGAAAATTCTATTTCCTCTAAAGCATGCTCCCGTAAGGTTGTATTGATTATACTTGCTATGTGCCGCATGACTTGCATGACCTTAGGGCGGGACACCATTTACCGGGCGTTGTTGCGCACCCAATTATTTTTTAGAAAAGGAGCAAAATCCGGACACGGTGTAGGCCACCATGGGCCTTGGGAATGATTTTTGGGGAGCTTTGGCGGTTTTGGTGCTACTTGGCTATCATTCTTTATGTATATAGCTATTTCGGACTTTATGTAATCGAACATGTTAAAATTGTAATTCAGAAGAGGGAAATGGCATAGGAACTCACCCATGTAACTTTTGGAGTTCATATGTCATTTCCGCTCTCATCTCTACTCATGTAAACTCATATTTTATCTCCCCTTTTTGCAATTGGAGAATTGTAAGGAGACTGTGGCGGCCATAGCTTCTTTGATATATTTATGTGGATATATGGTTATCTTCTCACTTCTATAGTTTAAATATACATTTCCATGTTGGTTTGTATCACTCATGATGGTTAGGAATGATCCTACGGACACTAGCATGATAGATTCGGTGAAGGGCCTTGTTGGCACCTTCTTTCAGGTTGGATTGCATAGGGGTTGTACCCCGTCTTTGTATATTTCATTGTGTATGATATTGCCATTCTTGATACCCCATTAGGTCCATTTCATGACCATTCGTGTGTCCATTTTGTGGCCTTTTATGGTTAGTTCAGGTTAGAGTATCGTTGATCTAAGGATAGAACCGAAGAGGGACAAGTTCTGACTCATTCTGGTTCAATTTTTGGCTTGCCGCAAAAGTTGAACCGGTTGGACTTTCAATTCCAACTGGTTGGACATTCTGCATATTTCAGCCCTCCGTGAAAGTTGAACTGATTGGGCTTTCCTGAACCTACACAAAATGTGTTTTTGACCTAGTTTCTTAAGGGATTTGTAAGGGCTGTTTGGGGGACCTTCATAGGGTTTCTTCATGGCACGCGTTTTAAGGTTTAAATGGGGTTAGTTTGGCAATCAAAATAGCATCTTTTTACCTCTTCTTTTAATGGTTCTTTCCTTGCCAAAAAACAGACTTTTAAGTGTCGAAACTATTTCATTTTGATCCAATCTTCCTCAAATGTTTATGAAACTTTCGCATGAAGTTCCTTTATTTTAAAATGACTTGTTTATGGCATTTTGGGGTTGAAAACCACATTTTTCTTAAGTATTCCCGTGTAGGATCATTTCATGAACTTGTAAATTGATGTAACGTTTTCAAAGGACATTATCATTTCTTCCTCATTTCAATGCTATGCATGATCATTAGATGAATGGTGTAAAGGGTTTGTGACTCATCTTGAAGTTATGGACCTTGTTAATCACATAGGTTAGCGGGTTCAATTTTGCTTCTGCATTGACTCGGGTATCGAGACCGGGTAGCCTATATTTTCCTCATGAACTCGGTCTTTATTATTCGGGGCGTGACAGTAAAGGAAATAAAGGTGTCAAAATTGAAGAGAGAAATAGAAAATGAAGCACACAAGGATACACACACAAAGCCCAAAGGGCTACATCATCTTTATTATATTCTCTCTTAAGATTGTTTACAATGAGCACCTCTATTTATAGGTGAAAGAACAAAGCGATAAAAATGGAAAATACATTAATGGAGGATTCATAAAATCAATCCCATAAATCACTCTAATCATATTTTATAATAAACTAAAATCACTCCCATAATATTCTCGGAGCAATATTCTGTGAAGTAATTTAAGGTTCCTATAACAATATTCTCTAACACCCTCCCTCAAGTTTGTACACGAGATTTTAACTCAAGTGTTCAACTTGAAACTAAGTACTGTCCGAAACAAAAGTAACTTGGTAAAATTGGCGTACTCAATTTGAGAGCCTGACTATCATTATATACAAGAGAAAAATTACAAATATGAAAAAAAGAATAAAATCAAATAAGAATAAAGAGAATAAAATCAAATCAGAATAAAAATAAAATCCCTAAACATTAGCCTATAATGAAGACCCAATAAATCTGCCATAATCATTGAATCAGCTTATAGATATGATTTCCAACACTCCCCCTCAAGCTGGAGCAAATATGTTGACCAAGCCAAGCTTGACTATGGAAGACTGGAGAAGAGAAGGCCCAACAAACTTTGTGAACACATCTGCAGTCTGTTTTAAAGAGGGAATAAAAATAGGATTAATGATATCTGATCGAACCTTCTCTCGAATAAAGTGAATGTCTACCTCAATATGTTTCGACCTTTCATGTAAAACAGAATAGGAAGAAAGCATAATGGCTGATTTATTGTCACAAAACAGCCTTGAAGAACCTTTCTCTACAAGACCCAACTCTCCAAAAATTGATTGAAACCAAAGGAGCTCACAAGTACCTTGAACTATAGCTCAGTATTCAGCTTCAGCAGAGGATCTGGAGACAACAGCTTGCTTCTTACTCTTCCATGATATGAGATGATTACCATAGAAAGTACAAAAGCTAGAGGTAGAACGTCTATCTATCTTACATCCAGCATAGTCTGCATCAGTAAATCATGAGAGTCCAGACTGATTTCCTGAGGCATAGAACAGACCAAGACTAGGGCACGACTTAAGATACCTCAAAGTATGGTAGACTGCATCCATATGAGCTGAGCGAGGGACTGCATCCATATGAATTGACTAACCACACTAACAACAAATGTTAAATCGGGCCTTGTGTTAGTCAAGTAAATAAGACGACCTACTAAACGTTGATACACGGATGGATCTGGAAGTAATTCCCCTGACTCAACAGAGAGTTTGAAATTGGGGTCCATAGGAGTGGAAGCGGGTCGACACCCAAGCATGCTAGTATCTTGAAGAAGATCCAAAACATATTTCCTTTGAGATAAAGAAATTCCACGACGAGATCTAGCAACCTCAATTCCAAGAAAATATCGAAGAGGACTTAAGTCCTTCACATCAAAGGACTTTTGAAGATGAAGTTTCGCTTGAGCAATCCCTGAAGCATCATCACCTATGATAATGATATCATCCACATATACCAATAACATAATGCAGCGACCATCATAGCGACGTCGAATAAAGCAAGTATGGTCTGAGTGGCAGCGCACAAAGCCCATGGATAGAACAACATCGCTGAAATGACTAAAACCAAACTCTAGGAGATTGCTTCAGACCATAAAGAG